TAATTTTAAAGGGATCACTACACCAAGAGGATACAACTCTGGTAAACATATATTCACCCAATGCAAGAGCACCCAAATACATAAAGAACTTCTAGAAGATATCAGGAGAGAGATTGACAGCAATGCAATCATAGTAGGGGACTTTCATACCCCATTAACATCCCTGGATAAATCCTCTAGACAAAAAGTCAGCAAAGAAATAGCAATCCTAAATGACTCACTAGATCAGATGGAATTAATTGACATCTTTAGAACAATCCACCTCAAAGCAACAGAATATACATTCTTCTCAAGCACACATGGGACATTTTTAAAGCACACATACTGGGACACAGGCAGTCTCTTCAAATTCAAGGAAATTGAAATCATATCAAGCATCTTCTCAGATCACAATGGCACAAAATTAGAAATCAACTACAGTAGGTCCTTGGATTATGTTGGAGATCTGCTCCTTTGGCGTGACATAACACAATTTTCGATGTAAGTCAGAACCTACCTACATAAGCATCTAGATCACTCACATGGAGCACATACACAGCAGTAATGAAGTGAAACAGTAAAAAAAAGAAAATAAAAAAAAGAAAGATAACAATTCCTGACCTTTACTTGTGGTAAATAAATAATAAAAAAAATAAAGCACATATGTTGAAATGACGGAATTTTTTTTATATAAATAAATAGGAGATGGCAAGGTAACCGCAAAATGAAGTACATGAAGTCCAATGTAACCCAAGGACTAACTGTACAATAAAAACAATCACAAAAATTCAAACACTAGGAGGCTGAATAGCATATTATTAAACAATGATTGGGTTACCAAAGAGATCAAAAAAGAAATCAAAAACATCCTGGAAACAAATGACAATGAACAAAGAACAATCCAAAATCTATGGGACACAGTGAAAGCAGTCCTGAGGGAGAAGTTCATAGCATTACAGGCCGACCTCAAAAAAAAACAAAACCAAAACAAAACAAAACAAAACAAAAAACCTGGTAATAAACCACTTAACTCTGCAACTTGAAGAATTAGAAAGAGAGCAACAAGAAAAGCCCAGAGGGAGCGAAGGAAGAAAATAATAAAGATCAGATTGGAAATAAATGACATAGAGACAAAAAAAAAAAAAAATTACAAACAACAAATAAAACAAAGAGCTGCATATTCCTAGAAAAATACAACCTTCCAAAACTCAACCGGGAAGAATAAAAAAAAATCTGAATAGGCTGATAACTAGGGAGGAAATTGAAGCAATAATCAGAAAACTTCCAACAAACAAAAGTCCTGGACCAGACGGCTTCACAGGAGTTTTATCAAACATTCAAATAAAAAATAAAACCTATCTTCCTCAGATTATTCAAAAAAATCAACAGGAAGGAACACTTTCAAGCTCTTTCTATGAGCCAAAATAACCCTAGTCCAAAAAACAGATAAAGACAATATAATGAAAGAGAATCATAGGCCAATATCCCTTATGAACATAAACGCCAAATCCTCAAAAAAATTCTAGCAAATAGAATCCAGCATTACATTAGAAAGATCATAAACCATGACCAAGTGGGATTTATTCTGGGAATGTAAGGATGGTACAATATCTGCAAGTCAATAAATGTGATTCACCAGATAAATAAATTGAGAGATAAAAACCACATAATCTCATATATTGATGCAGAAAAAGCATTTGACAAAATCC